CGGTTGTCAAGTCATTGTATTCTACGTTGCATGTTACTCATCAATTTATTTTCACATTACTTTTTATAGCATACGATACATGAAACTTATTTATTTATGTACCGTTAGTATTTTGTATTACCAGGAACTAATATAGCCTATTCCCAAGAGCCTATTACACGACAAGGCTACTGGTCGCTTATTACTGGTCAAAGAACTAATATAGCCTTTATAGCCAATATATATTATAATTCAATCAACTCCTTAATACATTTTCTTTGTTTTCAGAGCTTATCATGTAATCGGAGCATGCGATCTTAACAATGTCATCCCCGGGGGAAGGACCCTCAGACTCGCAAACCTCCCGGAACGGGAGTACCCGGAAAAACAAAGTAGCAAGTCGGGAAAACGGAATAGTCATGAGGAACTGGAGTTCGCGAAGCTCAGCTCGCCCGATGCCGATTCCACTAAAGTCTCTCAACGAAGGCCATAGGATGGACCCACAGGAAAGGATCTTCCTAGAGGCCGCAGAACGAGGGGATAAACACACTATAATGCGTTGCTTGCAGGCTCAGCCACATGTTAATATAAATTGTACCAATATTTTGGGAAGATCTGCTATTCAAATTGCGGTTGACAACGAAAATATTGAAATTGTCGAGCTGTTACTAAAACAAGATGGCGTTAAAATTGGTGATGCGTTGTTGTATGCCATCCGTGAAGGAGTGTACCGTATTGTGGAAATGCTTATCAATCACCCGAGTATTAGCCGCCATATGCTCGGGCCAGAATGGGCAAAGACTAAGATTCAGGGAGATGAGAGTTCTGATTACTCTCCTGATATATCCCCCATCATTCTAGCAGCTCATTGTAATCAATTTGAAATCTTACAACTTCTTTTATCTCGGGGTGCGCGAATAGACAGACCGCATCAATTATCTTGTTCTTGCACGAGGTGTCGTGAACAAGTGAGTGACGATAGTTTACGACATTCGCTACTGAGAATACACACATATAGAGCGTTGGCAAGTCCAGCGTGGATCTCGCTAACCTCCCCAGATCCCATATTAACAGCTTTTAAGCTTTCATGGGAGCTAGAACTCCTGGCCAATAAAGAAAATGAGTTTAAAGATACATATGTTGAGCTGAGTGAGAATTGTAAAAAGTATGCATGTGACCTTCTTGACCAATGTAGAAGTAGTGAAGAAGTTATCGCGGTGCTGAATAAAGGAGACGGACCGGATGATGACCCTGTCCTTGACCCTGAGAAACTAACCCTTGCCAGGTTAAAACTATCGCTGAAGTATGAACAAAAACGGGTAAGTAGTAATTATGTCTCTACAAAAAGTGTTGACACATTGTTGTAATCTCCAACTTTTTTATGGACGGCGTTCGGCGGTTGGTGTTTGGCGTTCGATGTCTGTAACAAATGGGAGTAGAAACATTTTGCAAATTACATCTCTGTTGGTCAAGGAATCTTTGTATATTTGGATGTTTGATCGATTTTTTGAAGTGCACCGGCCATCTTTGTCACTTAGATAATTGTCATTTCTATCAGTGTTTTAATTTGACTTTGCTTTTAGTAATTAGAGACATTTTCAGCCGTTCCAAAATAACGAGGAATGAGCTCTTTCATGAGAATTTTGTTTGAGATGTTAAAACGAAGAAATGAAGCAAATCTCTTCAATACCATTTTTCGTTAGTTCCGATTTAGAGAAATAGTGAAAGTACCCACTACCCCTAAAATGAAACTACCTGGCCTTACATGAAGGGCTGCATTGAGTAACGAATTGAGTCCTTTGAATGAAGGATGATAAAAATGAAAAAAACTACATGTTATTTCCCAAAAATCGCCATTGCTATTTTTACGACGTCACTGCCGCCATTTATCCATATGAAATTGCAATTGGGGAAATGTTAATTTAGTCGAAATTAATTGTATATATCTACAGGGTGTCCCAGAACTCATGAGAATTTTTTGAGGGAGATATAAGACATGAATGATTTTCCTTCAAATTAAGTGCACTTAATAAACAAATATTGAGGAATAACTGACATGAATTTCAGGCACGTATCTTTTATATTTCCGAATTTATTGACATTTGAATTCTACATCGCCACAAACCCTGGAGTAGTCAGAGAAATACACACTTTACGTCACATTTTGATAATATTTACACAACTTCTCTACTCTAATAGCATTGTTTTCATTGAATTGTTTCAGAGTTTCAGTACATTAGTTAATAGGATCATACATATTCAGCTAACGTATCTCTACAGAGTTATTATAGCATATTATCTGCAGTTGATGTCGTCTTTTCAGCTACTCTACACATTCTCAAATTGTCCAATAGCCATTTTTGTAGGGTCCTCTGAAACAACATGACTCAATTCTTCCTCCGTTTCAGTGACATGGCTTATTAATCTTTGTTTAATGTCCCCAAAGAAATCAAAAGTCTAGTAGAGCAAAATCTGGCAAGTATATGGAGCTACTATATACTGTGAAATCTCAATAGAAAGTAAATTGGATGCACTTCTGACATGCATGTAGTGACTTATTCACTGGTGCATTGTCAATATGCAAGATCATATTGGCTAGCAAATGGGGACATTTCTTTCAGTCCCTCAGGAACATGTCATTATGATCTTTCAGCAAACCAAATGTACAATCTGTTGATGTATTGGGTCTCTATCAAAGTTTATATATCGTTTTATCAAAGTGTATCATCAATATGAGAAAAATGCTGAACTAAGCTTCTACAAAAAAACATTGGTTTTATAGTTGAGAATTTGTATAAAATTGACAAAATTTGACATAATTTGTTGTATTTTCCTGATTACTCCGGGGTTTGTGGCAATGTAGAATTCAAATGTCAATAAATTCGGAAATATAAAAGATATGTGCCTGAAATTCATGTCAGTTATTCCCCAAGGTGTGATTAATAAGTGTACCAAATTTGAAGAAAAATCACCCGTGCCTTATATCTCCCTCAAAAAATTCTCATGAGTTCTGGGACACCCTGTATATGTAATTGTAAAAATACCATCCCGTTCATATAAGTATTGGGAATCGTAATGAAGAGCATTACATATACCTTATATACAGTATAGGCTTATCGCAGTGGATCAGGTGGTGCTCTTAAAATATAGTCGAAGTAATTAATTTCAAACAGAGCTGTATAACTGAGTACCTGATAAACTAGGGTTGTATTCATGTAATATGCTGATGGTCATCTGATACTATGCTAATAAAGAACAGATAGGCCGTGTTTCATCGCTCAATTGGCGAAACAAAATCAACAGATCATCATCAGTTTCATGTAACTATAGGAACGTCGATGTCTTGGCTATTGCACATGTAAACACAGAACATATATTGTACTTAGATATATTAGTGTTATTAAGAAATATAGACCGAAGAGCATGTGTGATATCGACGAATACAGAAAGCAGGGCTAAGCCCAAACGTTTTCTGTACCCCGAACAACCGACCTGCTCTGAGGTCTGTATTACGAACATGAAAACTCACCAAAATGTTTCGAATATTCATTATGGTCTGTCATTACTACGACCCGCCGTTATGACGTCATACATTACTCGTATTACCGGGGGTATTGTTCGCGAATATAACCCGGGTGAAAGATTGACTTTGTTCACAGTTTTTAGAAGGCGTGAATACTGTCGGGTTCGAATCATTAATTGTGTTTTCAGATGAACGTATTCATTTCCCTAATATCTAATACTGTGTTAAGCCTGTATATAATTATAAATCAACAAAAATATGTCACTTCTAGGTCATACCTTCATACAAATTGAGAACTTGTTGTTGACCCAAACTAAACTAAACTGTCTCATTCCGATCGCGAAGTAAATTGTTCCATACCGAACCAAAACCTGTAAGGAACAGTTTCGACCAGTACGAGTAGCGTTCCTTGTACACAGGATTTGCTGTATACTATGCTTTACTCATTTACTTGTAGTTTGTATCTCATCCCCACTGCCAGCAACTACTAGCCTCGATTTGGTACGACGGGTTACCCGGATGGCGAAAACGTCATACGTTTACAAAGTTCTTAATTTGCCTCGGACTTATTTGCATTTGGCCGTTCATGGCAGTGTACTACCTGTTCTTTCCAAAAAGTCAGATGGGGCAGATGATACGAACTCCGTTCATGAAATTTCTTTATCACAGTACTTCCTTTGTTGTATTTCTTCTATTGCTAATCCTTGCCTCTACTGAGATAAGCAGTATTGACGGACGGGGAATGAGTAGAGGACCCCCACCGTCTCAACTTGAGTGGCTCATCACATTCTGGGTGATAGGTAACGCATTAACATAATCGTGTTTCGTTATATATTTTTGGATTATTCTTGTCATACAGTGCTTTGATTAAATATCATTTGAATCGATAGACCCCGTTTACAGAATTCTGATACACTACAGTATAGAGTAAGTTACGCCGTAACCCATTAATTTTTACAATTAGAATAACATCTTTTAACTTTATTTTGCCATTGCTTTCCTTTAGGTTTCATCTGGAGTGAATGTAAACAGCTTTGGGAGGAAGGACTGAAAGCGTACATCCGTCAGTGGTGGAACTGGTTGGACTTTATAATGCTTGCCCTCTATCTATGCACTTTCTCCTGCAGAATAGTTGGATATATTCAACTGGAATTTTGGCCAGAGAGATATGGCCCCAGGGATATGCTCAGGAGCGATTGGCCCCACAACGACCCAACGTTAATCTCAGAAGGATTGTTTGCGATTGCTAATGTGTTTAGCTTCGCAAGGTTTATATACTTATTCCTACAGCATCCTCATTTGGGGCCACTACAGATTTCATTAGGTTGTATGCTCATAGATATCGCAAAGTTTCTATTCATCTTCTTCCTTGTGCTTATATCATTTGCCTGTGGTCTGAACCAGCTATATTGGCACTATGGGAACGAAGATAATCTTGCCAGCGACGCCTTCCTAACGTAAGTGCAAACTTATCTTATTTCAATGATTATCATATACACAGGGTGTCCAAAAAGTCACATAACTTGTGTTGCCCCTTCGTTAATTAATTCTGCACAAATCGGATTCTGGATTCTTACGGGGTGTACTTTCATGGATCTCATTTAAAGAGAGTTAATCAATGTTATAACATAAATAACGAAATTGCTGTGTGTGGTATTCCGCCTGAAGACAATATGAACCATTCAATGTAACCTCACTTTCATGTATAACTGCCTGGGGTTACCATAAAGTCGCATTACCATACGACAGCAACAACAAAACGCTAGCATCAGTCCTGTTACTTTTGAGACACCGTGTACAGTATTATAAAGTGTCCAGCGGGGTGTTCGAAAATAAAGAGACGCACTCTTCTTTTTGTAATCCAATTTGTATAATGTTATATGAGTCACTATTTAATCACGAGCATTAACCAAAACCGAAGTCCATGACATATACTAGTATATTATTCATAATTGAGAAACATGAAGCAATTAAAAGACTTTCTTTTCGTTACAAATTACTTTCTTTTTATGTGATCCAAGCTATTATTATTAACAATTGTTCTTCAACACAATCTTATGACCACGGGTAAAAACTAAATATTCATTTGCATATCAGTATAACTTAAAACATGCAATGTACTGTAGTTGTTTATACCTTTAGTTTGAAAAATAAAATTTTACGATTGTCCACTAAATTTAATCGAAGATTATAAAGTTGCCTCAGTAGAAATAACATTTTTGTTGTTATGCTAATTAGCATGCCATTTTACAATCTGACAGAGTTGAACAATTCACTTCATATCACATTGTTTTTTTTCCAATAACAATGCCAGTTTCTGAAATATTCATTAATGGGACAACTACATATTGTTTGACAATGAGTTTCTCTTATTATGGGACGCTTTTTTCTTTTATGGGTTCTTTCTAGTGTAACGAAAAATGTTTCTCACAAATGTTCATTTTGTATCCAATGCATACAAATATAATCGAACTTAAAAATATTCATGAGATAGCAATATGGTATCTTATATGCATGTCCATGCTGAAAAACCATTACTTAATCAGTTGATGTTAAGAACATGTCTCAAACAGTATGAAGCCAATCTGAGTTCTAATAATTTGTTCACAGCCATTTCAGATTACCTTTAGGGATGTATATCCTCTTCTTTTATATTATTTGTTTCACATTATTAATGCGCATGGATATTTATCTTTTATAATTTTACAGATTGTATTTCTAATCATATTATAATTGCTATAATGATTAAAATGTGTAATAAAAGTCATTATTTGAATACTTTTATTTCGAATGCACACTATCCTTTGCTATAGTACTTACTCCGTTGTTATGTTATTTCTATGCAACAGAGTATAATGCATACGAATGTAAATGCATACGACTTTATTTTGTTCGGATCATACGTATCCATATACAACGTTGAGCTATTCCATGTTACATCCACGTTACATTACATTGTTGATAAAATATCATTGCGTACCATTTTGAATTTAGTAAATAAATGTATTGTATTGCACAATTTTCAAGAAAGTGAGTATGTCATCATATGCAAAAGACCTGCTCGTGAGTATGACATCATATGCAAAAGACCCGCTCCATTCGTTCATTCTGAATTCAAGACATTAATCTATTATTATAACATGTATGTCTAGAGGAATAATCAGATATTCACCGTTTTGTCTTGTATGAATATCTTTTGAAAGGGTCACACGCTATAGTGTTAGATTTCATCTTTGAGCGCAATTAATTTCACTGTTCCGTTATCTAGGAGTCAATTGCCCTACTTATCAATGACTATCTCATTAATTAGAATACGGGGTTATATTAAACATGCATATAGATGATACTAATATATTTCATATTAGATATACCGTAGTAATTATAAATGTAACGCTGTGTCCCTTTTGTTGAATTGAGTTCAATTTTTTACATATTTATTGCAACTTTGTCTCACCTTTATAGGTATCACTCAGGTAAAATACAAATTATACATATTTCTTAAAACCTAACTGGATTTTCCCTTTACTTTTATTTTTAGTATTTGGACAAGTGGAGGTACGCTTTTCTGGTCTTTATTTGGTTTAATTCCTCCAAAGGTGACACAAATAACAGACCACTTGTTTATTGTGAGAGTAGGCGAAGGGCTCCTAATGGCTTACCACGTCTTAGCTATAATAGTTCTAATAAACATGTTAATTGCTATGATGAGTAGCTCATTCCAAGATATCGAGGTACTATCTGAAACTGGTTTCGAATCCAATATTCTAAGCATTGCATGTATTGTTATGGTTTGCACCAACCATGCAAAATAGGCATGTCTTTTAACAAACGAGGTAGCGTTGATGTACCTCGATAGATTGGTATACACCAAGTTCTTAGAAATAACACTCAGTCGACTATCTGATAAATTAAAAAAGGGTATCCCGTTTCCTGTTCATGTGCACATCCACATGTACAGGGTGTCCCGAAAGTATGGGCCCATATATCATTTTAAAGCTCATCCAAAGTTACATTGATTTGCCAAGTATCATCAATCAATTTACAAATGGTAAAAAGTTAAAGGCATTTCAAAACTTAGTGTTTGGGCAAAATTAAAGTTAAAATCAGTATCCTGGAAACACTGCTAACCTGAATGTGACCAAAAATATGGGTGATATCATTAAAGAGAGGATGGATATTGAGTTGTAAAAAGAGATCGGTAAGGGCAGATACTCCAAGGAAATTCTTCTAAAATGTCTTAAAAAGGTTTTATTAGGATTATTAAATGCCATACCCCTATTTGCAGTGTATTTAAGGTCAGATCTGGAAAGAATTGCTTCTGTTAACATGGCCAAGGGAGACGCGGCGACTATTCATTTTGTGTAAAACTAAACTTTAATTTTGGTAAAACAGTACATTTTGAAATGTATGTAACTTTTTCCCATTTGAAGGTTGAACCATGATACTTGGCAAATCAATGTAACTTTGGACAAGCTTTAAAATGATATATGATACATACTATGGGGACATTGTTGTATGTCTGCCTAGGGGGGGGGGGCATACTTTCGGGACACCCTGTATAGTCTTAGAATTCTTGATTGTAAAAGACATGCCTTGCCAACTACGGTGTTATCATCTTCCCCTATGCAGTCTTTCATATGTTTCGTCCATATAGGTGTATCTAGTTTAGTGTGCTAATGCTGTTCTTATATTGAGTTTTATTTTGGTTTCTGGTTTAGTTGTCCTTGATGGAATATCCAGGAGTAAACTGTCCCGACGGTTACCAGAAAGCATGAATATGCTTGTACACATTGAATAAGTATTACCATCGTTACAGTTAAACTCTGCATATATGAATTCTACCATGGTGACGGTTTTATGCAACTATAATAACGCAACGTTAATAAAGTGCATGATATTTCAAATCACAAACCGGAAGTCGGAATATAATTACTGCATTCGTACTGCAAATATAAGACATCGTTCATAGTTAATGCTTAAACGATACATACAGCAATTTAGGAGTGACTTCCTTCTTCCAAAAGTTTACAAACCATTTACAAATTTAGTAAGGTCGTGAAGATCAGCAAGGCATTTTCCCAGGGTAGACATCTATAAGTCATTTAGCACAATTTTCATTAGATAGGAATTTCCTCTTTTCTAAACAAGGTTCACTTTCCATTAGAATCAAATACCTTTAATTTATCCCCCATGAGTACACCTGAAATTGTATAACTATCTTTCATACCTCCATGTCGCATGTAACTTTGTATTTGCAGACTTCCAAGTACATTAACGACGCTGTTTTGGTCATTATTCAGTATCACTCATATTACTGATGTCGTAATTGATGCTCCAAATCTCCATATACCACAGTTAATGGGTAGCTTACTCTTTGGGGCTTATCACGTTGCATCAATAATTGTGCTGCTGAATATGCTTATTGCGATGATGAGCAATTCATTCAATTCAATAGAGGTAATTCCGAACGTAAAATCATATGACATCACAATGTAGCCCACATGTTTCTTGTGACCAAGTTTTGCTCTACGATCTCTTGCAACTCATTATCGCCCCTTAAAGTACATACAATTGGACACATAAACTGCAAGAGCAGATATTTCTTTTGAATAAATGTAGAATTGAAGTCCTTATTGATATGATTTATCCGTATTACATTGTGTATACACATATTTTGATGTAGGACATTTCCGAGACATCCTTGTATGTTTTATGGAATAGTCACAGTGTGTTCACATTCTAAATACATATTCTGTAAATAAGCAGATCATCCTGAACTACGTTTATGCTAAAAAATGTCAAACCATAATTGTGGGTGTAAAATGGTATATTTTGGCCATTTGGGCTGCATTTGATATGATGACATTTTAAATGTATATATATATATCCTATAGTGTATATACAGGGTGTCAAATAAGTCTTGTCCCCCCTCTACAGCCAAAACCAAGATATTTGGTACCAAGTGTGATATATCATTGGAAAGGTCTTCCAAAGTTACGTTGATTGGCATATATCTGACACATGTCAATCAATCTCACAATTTTTTACATTGTATCAATTGAAGTGACCATATGCCTAGAAACATGGCAATTTGGCGTATTTGGCAGGATTTTAAGAATCAGGTATGAGACTAAATATGTTTATGACGATGAATTTAACCAATTTCTGGATAGGGTTAGATGTGTAGAAAATAGAGGTGCAAGAAAAGTGGTGAAAACCTTTTTGGAACAAGTGGAATGCGAAAAAGATTAACTTATTGACGTATTTCTGAGGTCATATCCTTGTCGTTTTGACGCAAAAAAGCTACTTAAAGGAGGGCATGTTAACTATAAAAGACATCATAAAAATATAGGTAAATTTCATCCAAAATACTTGAGAGTTGGTGAGTTTACATAAATTTGGACGATCTTTCCAATGGTATATCACACTAGGTACCGTCTGTTAAGGCTTTAGCTGTAGCAGGGGGGCCGGGACTTATTTGACACCCTGTATACTGTTTATGTATCGTTATTTATTCTAGAATACGTATCGTACATTGCTCATTCTTTCTTTTTGTAATTATACTAATTTCATTTGATTTGTACATTAATATTGTAATACATGTTCCGTATGCACTGGAATGTTCACCTTCACCATAGTACTAGGAATTTAAAACATTTACGACATTTATATAGATTTGTAGAAGCGAATCATATAGATAATATCAAATATTTCACTATTTTCTCATTATACAAGTATAATTGTTCAACTAAACAATCATGTTTTTTAATATTTTGAACTTTTTGCACAGTGATGTGATGTGATAAATATTAAAACACCAATCTAATATATGTCCTTCTAAGCCTTAATTATCATCTTGCATAATATCTAACTGATTAAAATACCAAACAACCATTCTTTCGTTGCTTATTCTATAAGCAAAACCTAAATTTTCGACCACTGTGTAAAATCTAAAGATTAATTCATAATATTCTACTATTTTGAAAAAAATATTTTCGAATAAAAAACTATATTCTGTTATCAATTCGTTTTAGGATCATGCTGATAGGGAATGGAAATTTGCAAGATCTAAACTTTGGATGGGATACTTTGACGAGGGATCCACAAGTCCAACTCCTTTTAATCTGATTGTTAGTCCGAAATCTGTTTACTTTTTCCTGAAAGCCACAAAAGATTTCTTATGCAAATGTTGTAGTCGTGAAGAGCCAAAGTTACGAAGGCAGTCCATGGGAACTATTAAGGTAAATGACTGTATACAAGATATGTTTCACCTGGAGAACTCTCTTTCTTTAAGAACTCGCAAAGCCATTGACGAACTAGGATCTCCGAGCTTAATATCATTATTTGAATTGCGTTCGTATATTCTAAATATCTTAATCCATAATTCCATACCTACTTAGGTTCTAGATACATAATGTGCAGAAATGTATAGTTTTGAAATCAATTCATGGATCTGCTCCAGCAATATATGAGTGTGAAAATGTCACAAACGTAAAAGCATGAAAAACTATTTTCTAGACTGAGAAAATGCGTACCTTTTTTATTGTGGAACTTGATGAGGTAGAATGTATCTAGAACCTCAATAGATATGGAATAACTCAGTTATGTGTGGTCAGTTTTGGATATAGGCTTTGTCCCTCGAAAAATATGTGTATTTCCCTCGGTCATTGCAGTCCCTCGGGATAAACACATAACCCTTGAGATAAATCCTGTATCCAAAATCTCCGAGTGCATAACCCTATTATATGAACCACTCATATATCGCGTAATATAAAATATATATTAAAGCAGTGTTTCTTATGTAAATTCCAGCATGATGCAAATAGTAATAATCATGTCAACTCTATTGCTAGTGAGGTATGCTAGAAACTCTCATATTCAGATCATTTGTTTTTTGGCTTTTAGTTGTATTTGTGTGATTTTATTACAACTTTTGTTCTTTGATGTATTTCAAAACAATTATTGATAAGATGTATAAGAATGGTAGATAAGATGACACACTGGCAGGGCCGCTTTCTTAATGTGTTTAGATTGCACATCTTTTAATTGTCAAGTCGAAAATGATCTTGCTTATTACATATGTTAAAGTTGATTGATTGGCATGGCCCTGGCCTGCTTGTGCTTGACGTTACATAACAACACGACGACATAATAAATACGGCATACGACATGCTTATTGTACCCTATATGAAAACGAAATGTATATGTTTTTATTTGTGTACAGTTTGTGTATATTAAATTCAATACATGTATGTATAAGTTGGGCCAAGTGACAACATTTTGAAAAATTGGCAAACTCAATCTATATAACATAAAGTCGTTTAGCGGAAGATGATGTAAATTCAAACAATATGGTTTATAGATCTAGAATCAAAACTGTTTTTAAATTGTTATATCTTTTACATATCTTACATAAATATATTTTACATAATGCCTCGACAGAATTTTTACTGTAATTCTCAAAATACTTTACAGACACGTCCTATATACTATTTACTATGAAGTATTTAAAAACAGATCATCAAGCTTGCGTTGATATCAATTTTCGGTGTGTTCATTTTTGGCACAACCTGTATAAGGACATGAATACATACTTTTTTGTTTAAGGTATATAGACCTACAGATATAAACATTACATTTCATTTCGAGATTAACATTCCAATACTTTCCACGGATATATACATATACTGTGGAATATCTCAATATTTAAACAACCATCTTTCTCTAAGTGGTGATATGTTTAAAGATTGTATGATAGATAGGACAATGTACATGTTTTTTAATGTTAAAATATATTGATATTGAAACATATAATTCAATTCTTTCTCCAGTTTTATTTCAAATACGTGTTGATGTTTGAGTTAAAAAGCTATGTATTCAATATCTACTGTGTTTCTAGGTACATAACGAGTGGGAAGGTCCGGGACCATGTATGGTTATAGGCTATATTTGTCTAGGTCCCGCTATCCTGAAAAGCGAACTAAATAGATACGTTTTACTCAATTTACGAAATAAAGATTATATTTCAAACGCATGCTGCATATCCTAAATGTTGATCTCAATTCTTTGATCTGCTCCAGATATACTTATTGATCACCCCTCGTACATGAGTGTGAAAACCTCACAAACTTAAAAAGTAATTTTATGCTTAAAAAATACGAACGTATTTTTAAATTTTGCAACTTTGTGAGGTATAATGAACCTAGAAGCTCAGTAAGTATGGTATACATAAAGTTATGCACGATCGGTTTCGGATGAAAGGTTTATCCAAAACCTCCTCGTACATAACCCTTATGTATGTTGCGTTAAGTGTTATAGATAAAATATGCAATTTATGGATTTAAAAGTGTTGTCAGCCTTAAATATTTGCATTTAGTGGAATATTAGCTTTTTCAGCATTTAAATGCATTGTTATTAAAAGGAGATTATTCTGGTAGGCATTTTATTGTGATGTACAAACTTTTTAATTGACTGAAATAACGTGGTGATCTTTGCACAGTTGAGAGGTTAATTTGATATTGATTGAACGTCCCAAAAGTATACATCTTACCATCATTAGTTATTGTTAAATTCAACGCAGTTTTAATAATAAACATTCTAAGAGCATTGTAAATCAAATCTGACGGGCTCAAGAGTATATTCGCATAATACTCTATCAAATTGTAAACACATCATAAAATGATTATTTATATTTTCAGTTTTATATTCTTGCAAGACACTGTCTATTTTCTTTTTCTTTTTGTAACGGTCCAACGGACAATTTCTTATCTTTTCTATTGTTTATCTGTGGACAATTTCAGTGACACTTGGGTTTTTCGAAATATATGAATTTTGAGTTTAAGACATTGGCAATGAACTCACTTGGCACCTTTTGAGGTGGATCCCGGCTATGGCATTAATGGTTGAGAAATAGGGATCGAAACCAGCCATAGTTTTCTCCTGATGACGATTGTGAATTATTGTGTTTTATGGATTATGGCGACGACTTTTGTGAATGGATGTTGACCCTTTGAAACGCCTATGGACTTGGAGACTGGATTTTATCTATCCCACATCATTTGAGACTGAATGCTCTATCTTGTATGAGTACTTGTATCTACAACAATTTTTGAGGTTATGAGTATTGGCTATCAATTGGCTATCAATTTCTAATTTTTTCCTGACATGTATTGTAATGACTTCAGTATGAATGAAATGTCCCTTGGTCTTCTGGTCTTGGCTTGTGATATTGATTCTTGAATGGTGGGGGGAAAGGGGGTATTAGACATTGTTTCTTTTCACGTTAGATCATGGTTTTGGGCTATATGGGGTTTGTTTTTCTTGACTGGTATGCACTTGCACTTGCTACATTCTTGCTAAGTTCCATTACAACTTTTGGTCCTTTCCCTTTGGCACTAGTGCTTATATATTTGAATAATATGATATCTTAAGTTATTATTTATTGAGTGTCACGGGGGAATAAGTCGATAATAGTACTCTGTCTTGTTTACTGACCTTTACTGACTTTTGGGTCATGCTTCATCGAACACTATGTTCCACTATCATATAAATATGTATTGATCTGAATCACATTCTCTTTATTATGTCAGGCTATTTTATGTTTATTTGTTATTTTTCAGAGGCCGAAGTACACACCAAATAGTGAGACAACTTCAGTGCAAACAACAGAAGACATACCAAAATATGAGGTAAACATGTGTAATGGATTATATAAGTACCACACAACTATTTCTGCCAAGCACATTTTATATGTTAGCACTATTGTTACTTTCATATTGTATGTTCAAATGAAGAGGCAATCAAAAATCTATGAAGCGTGAAATTGGAACTTAACACGTCATAGATATATCAATATCGCAAATTGTAGTACCCAGATCAAATTAATAGTTCGTATCTCAAATCTTGGTGTCACAGAAACCATTTTTGGAAATGTTTCATTTTGTGAGACATGGTGCTTATTTGTGTCTAGAATTATATAGAAATCTTAAAACGTTTTATTTACAAGAAATAATGTTGCCACTTATTTGTGTTTTAAATCTGAATCATTTGTCGAAATTTAACGGTTATTGAATTTCATATTGTATTTGTATTTACAGGACATAATGGCGAGACTCGTAAGTCGGTATATTCATCAGTTCAAGAAAAACTTACGGAACCAGGAGGTCAATGAGGACGATCTTCTCGAAATAAAACAAGATATTTCTAGTTTACGGTAATTTGTTTCATGCTTTTCTAAAAAAGACACACCGCTTTCTACAATCTATAGATAGGAGAGTATATCCATGATAAATGAAAGTTTGTTATACGCATGGCACGATTCACTGAACTTTGAATGTTATTTGAATGATTGTAAATATAAAAAGTAATTCATCAAAACATACTAATGTACCTTTATAATTGGTATATCTTGTTCAAGTCTCGTTTTAATGAGAAACTCTTTACAACTATTTAATTTTTCCTAAGAATAACCGGGTAAATCCAAATTGACACGGTTTTAAAGAATCGTTGATAATTAATTTATTCTTAAAATGTTCATAATTGTAAGATCTGTTTGTCAATATTTTTATTTAGTTGCATGCCAATGGAGTTAAGTAATTAAGAAATAAAGTAACTTTTGTCAGTTTCTTCATATACGTATATGTATAGCATACTACAATCAGAACTACTATTGCTATATATTTATTCATCTTATAAGTCTATTCGATATGACCCTTTACATGTCTTGGTTTTTATGCTAAGGAATACATTATTTTGCATTTATGTTTAAGGTCAGAGAAGGATTGGTTTCAGGAAAATGAGATACAATGTGATATGCACAATTTTACTTGAGGTTATTGTACCTGAACATCAGTGAAAATTAAAAGGCATCATTTTAAAGACTGTCATCCATTTCCCATATAACAATCGATGCATGGTCCATGTTTTAACTGTTTATGAATTTATCCGCAGTTACCCCTCTCTCATCGTTTGATTTCGCTCCATAGAAGAACTAGACTCCGAGACTCAAAAGTACCCATACAATGTTTTTCGATATATAAAAATCTAAGGATATTAACAACGATAAAATATTGACACTGATATAGCTCGATATATTTGAATTATGTTGGATTATATTTTGAAGCATTTGAAGAAACCATTGAATGATGTATCATTTTATAATTAATCCCCTTATCCCTGGCCTGGTTTGTTATATAAATATGGTATCGTTGAATTTGCAAGAAACCACAATTATGTTATATTGTACACGCGAATTAAAATAAATACCAATAATATCACATTTATAAATATTATTGAGAATAACGAATAAGAATATTTTGCTCATGCGCATAAGCATATACAACTGATTGCTTTTTTATTATTCAGATATGAATTGCGTGAAGACAGAAAACGCGAGACTGCAAGAGCAACAGGGCATATTGACAATCTGAAGCGGGACATAATGAGGAGTTTAAAACCTGGATTACATTCCAACATGAACGGAATCCCTGGGAATCCACCAATAAGCCCCACATCTTCTTTCAATTCGGGGATACCATATACTATATCAGGGAATGTGATGTCACAACAGGAACTAGATTATTTAAAACGTGAAATAACTATGGAATTGAAACACGAAATTCGCGAGGCAGTTGGGGAGATCGTTGAGGCTATGAATACTAATGCCATGAACAATTCAACAGCTCCAGCTCTGCCATCAAATAGCAATGATCTATACCACACCCATCTGTATACTCAACTATGAATCATCTATTTTTGTCATTATTTCAAGAAATAATGATGATGTATATTTTGATATTGGATTTGTCTACAATTACAAATGTGCATCGTAATATGTAGATTTTCTTGTCATTTTGACAAATTAGATTACGTGCGACGGATAATTACAGTTTTAAGATTTTGTCTATTTAGCATGAACATTAAAGTAGTCCAAAATATAACAAATGACCAACTTGATATTTATTTATGCAATGGATACACGCATTATAACTAAAATGGACATTAACTGACTTAACTGTATATGTTTTAAAGAGAACCTGTACGTGGTTCCTGGTGATTACTGTCTGTTTGTGTTACGTACAAGCTTTCTTGCAAACGTGTTACTACCAAACCTCTCTTACGTAGAGTTTGCAGACCTGTGGATAAAAGAATTGACCTAGAAAGTTGGATAGATACATATACGTGATTTGCCAATAGAAAAACCATTTGGCATTATTTTACCTCATACATAAATGCAGGAATAATGAAATTATGGCTAGATATTAACATTTCTACATCGAGAAATAGCATGAACAGGAATGGCTTGTAACTGTGATAGATAACAGTTGAGAATGAAAATTTTGAAAACTGTTGTGTATGCTCCTATGCACTAAAGGTTTATATATTGTATGTATAATATCTATTTTATCCATATTTGGAGATTACTAAAACATTGCTCTGCAATGATATATTAAAGTAGGATAATACTAAATAGATGTCGTTGGGAAACAGAGGGACATTTGATGTCTGCAAGTCTCAAAGTCTTCAATTAAAAAGGAAACAGTATATTAAAATAGGATAATATATGTCGACATGGGACAGTTGAAACATTTTAAAATGTCAACAAAAGTCGATACCTCAAAAATTAAATAGCTATTCTATCAAGCCATCGTGACCCATGATTGTCTAACAACTGGACAACCGATTGACCTACTTTGGTCGCCACTGATATGCGCACTGTATAACATCCGGTCTCTTCACTGTTGATAGAAACAATTTGGCGTCAAATGACTTCTGATTTTCCGTTTGCCACCGTTTGAATACTTTTTGGCAGAAGTAAGGGCGCGGTATAATTGCGATGTGCATCCTGGCATGCAATTTATTGTCCTATATGACGAGTGTAATTATGTCCCTTCGCCCTGTATTCCGTTAATTTTTATATCTAAATTGTGGGACTTTGACTTGAGCTGGTTATACAGCCTACAGTTTATCATACAGTACCATAATGCTTTTGTTGAACATGTCAGGTACATGTACAATTTACAGTGTCGTAGAGTTCATAATATGGTATTGCTTAAGGTAAGTCTGCATTTTCGGAATTTTACTGCAATCCTCAAATGAGTCAAATGGAAATCACTATTTTTCCACATTGTCTACATCTTTCAGTTTTGCACAAAGAGTGCATTTAAGTGCCTAGGAAAGGCTGTAAAGAAGATTTCTTTTGTAAAAAAGACAGAGGTTCACTGTATTTTCTCGTTTTTATACATTTAACAAAACAAATCTTCTCACCAGTCTTTTCTCGGTCAAATAGTGCACTCTTTGTGCAAAACTGAAAGACAATGCAGGGAGGGAGTAATTAGTATTTTAAAAAGCATATGTGACTCAGTTGAGGAATGCAGTAAAATTCCGAACATGTAGACTTACATTAAACCATGCAGTTGTTTTGTACTTGCTATGGAATAAAATAACCAAAACATGATTCTATATAAGTTCGAAATATGTAGCAAGCAAAGTGAGAATGAAGAACGTGAATACAGAGGTTTTACAACGCATGCATTTATTGACATTTACATATTCAATCTTATCATTCAAATATATGCAGATACTATCGGTAAGTAATGTAGATACTGTGAGTTGCTATTAATTGTCTGATCCCGACTATATAATATCATACTATGATAGTGCCTTCACAATAGCCTCCCCTGTTTGTTTAGCACTTGGTGGGTTTTGACCAGTTACGAGGCGCCCATCTGCTACAACATGTGGCTGAAAGACCCCTGCTTTGGTGAACTTGGCTCCCCGTTCGATAAGTTTATCTTCAACAGTGTAAGGGACGATGTCTCGGGCGCTAACTGCATCTTCCTCTTCGTTACAGAAACCGGCAACCCCTTTACCCTGAAATTGGAACAGAATGTCGCTTAACACTTCAAGGTCTAGCCTGAATTTGCGTACTCTTTGCGCAAAACTGAAAGATGTAGACCGTGTACGGAATTAGTTATGTTACTCGAAAGACAATAGGGTTCGAGTTAGGCAGCCATTAATATTCGGGACGAAAACATATTTGAAAATTGCTCCTCTATAAGTTATTTTCTGGTACAAAATAAACTATGCAGGCATTTGTGTGTTTTCTCACTTTTTGAGGAAAGCATCATTTCTTGGTATATTTAGTAAACCTGGTAAGAGGTCAGTGATAATTGCTGATACAAGTATCCAAGAAAAATGTTGCCGTTTCAATATTTCACATTTCTTCAGTTTCTCAACAACATCCTTCAATGCCTTCAATTTTTTAAAAATGTTACACTACATCCCATTTCACTGTCTTATTAATGTCGTCAGTTGAACCCCAAAAATCAGAAATCAGGAGATCATTGTGCAATAATATATGGAAAAGTATATTCATATTGTACATGAATGACATATATGACATATACAAATGTCATTTATGTACAATGGGAATATATTTTTCCATATATTATTGCACAATGATCTTTTGATTTCTTATTTTTTAGGTTTTACTGACGAAATAAAACAATAAATGGGCTGTAGTATCTTATCCACGGAAATGTGCTAGGTACCTTACCTTTACCAGATAACTTCCGTCCGTTAGACGCACGTTGACTAATGCAACAGGACCATGACAAACGGCGCTCACAACGCCACCTTTGTCATAAATCTCTGCAGAGAGACGCTGGACATCTGGGTCGTCTGGAAAATCCCACATCGTCCCAAAGCCACCAACGAAGAATATAGCATCGTAATCAGCAGATCTGCAGTCTGAAAGTTTCTTTGTATTCTGAGTTAACGATTTGGTTTCTGCTGTCTCCCAAAATAACTTATTCTCTGCATCGTCAAGGTTTATGCTACCAGGGTCTAGAGGTGCCTCTCCACCTTTGGGGCTTGCTAACTGGATCTTTAATCCTGCAGATTTAAATGCGAAGTATGGATGAGCTAGTTCCGGAAGGTACCATCCTGATGGCTTTTCGGTATTCCCTAGCTTATTGTTTGATGTCAACACTACGAGGATCGTCTTCCCTGAAGCCATGCTGATATTAACAATTTGGTTATGCTTACAAGTTGTTTGAATTTATATGTGCAGCAAAATGCTCAGTCATTTATGTGCACTCTAGAGTTTTTAGTTTTTGTACAATCAAAATGCAAGTCATCAAACTACACAGTACACACACGGTTCAAATGTACTTTGCATTTCAACGTGTACTATCAGAAAGTAAAGCGGTTTTATTGGGTTATCAATGAATGGATTTAATGTTTGTACAATACATGTACAACTGAAATCACGGGTTAATAATACCTGTAGTCACCCACTGCATGAAATGAACTTCTCGGGTAAATATTTTAAACCAATTGCAATCACAAACATGAGTATGCGGTCCAAAATGTACTATATCTAGTATGGCATGGAGATTATATAAGTTGGTCATCCGATATAGTTGTCTAATTGACCTTTGTTTTATTCCTAAAATGGTCATAATTGTAAACTTAAATCAAAATTAGCATTATCGACAAAATTATCTAGTTGCATGTCAAATATTTTTGGCGTACTTCCAAATAGTAGGCCTATTTATCAATTAAAGTTTTGACAGTTTTTTCATATGAATAGTATACTACTACCAGTACTACTATTGCCATCTATTCATTAATCAATATTACAAGTCTGTTCTATATTCAGTCTGCAAATGTCTCGACCTTGCGTTTTTATGTCACCACAAAAAAAGTGATGAAAAATCTGACTTTGCATTTATGATTTGACCTTCAGCGGCAATGCCCTTTCTGGGCGATTGCGCCGTGATTAATAATGTAAATTTATTTATAATTTTAAGAAATAAAAAGTATTTATTATTAAAACCTTCAATGACATTTTCAAGATCAAAAATGGTAAAAAAAGGTAAACACATATTTTTTCAACTTGCTTCACTTTGACCTTATTTTTTCAAAATCATCTACAAGTTATCAGAAGTTCAAATCTGACTTTAAATTTGAGATTTGAAATTCTTTTGAAACAAAACGATTTTAATGCTGAGGAATACAAGATTTTACATTGATTACATTGAGATTTGACCTTCATTGACCTTCTTAAGGTCATAAGGGCAAAAATGAAATTTTTGAACTTGCTTCAAATTGACCAATATTTTTTTTTTAAATCATCCAGAAGTTATCAGAAATTCAAATCTGACTTTAGATTTCAGATTTGAAATTCTTTTGAAACAAAACGATTTTAATGCTGAGGAATACAAGATTTTACAAGAGGAAGATAGGTTTCGGAATAAATGAAACGCGTTGTGATATGTAAAATTTAGGTTACCTAAATTATCGGTTAGGCTGCATTCTTAAAATTGAAAGTCGTTAAATCTATTGTTAATTTCGAGCACACACTTGAAACCGTTTTCCATTTAACAATCGGTGGCCTTTGTTTTAACTATTCATACATTTATCCCATTGCTTTAATTTTTTAATCGTTTGATGGAATAACTAGACACAGAGTACATTTTGGTGTGATAATTCCTAATGTCTGCAAAAGTCTCCAAGTCTTTAAAAAGGAAACAGTATATTAAAATAGGATATTAGATGTCGCCATGGTCCAGAGGACGCATTTTAACCCTTAAACGGTTAGGCTATAGAGAGTTACACCAACGGTCGGGAAAATCAGACCCCCCCCCACCATACCCCCCCCCCCCCACATGATCTCGGAAAGGAAAATCATATGAGGACGTGTTAGATATCATTGGAATGTATATTCAATTCCGCCATTATTAATAAAGAAATTCATATTCTAAGAATATAGGGGTTTGTCGTTTAAGAGTTAAAGGGTTAATAATGTCTGGAAAAAGTCGTCATCCCCAAGTCAATAAAAAAGTTAACAGTAATCCCTTCAAGCCATCATGACTCTTGGTTGTATACCAAAAAGGATACCTAGGAACAGTCGCATTACGTGTGGCATTTGATTCAAAATAAGAGTCACAACGCATACCCTTGGAAAGACTAGACGTCATTACGGAAGATATGCGTTTCGATATGCGTACTATATATCATCCGGGCTTTTCACTGTTGCTAGAAACAATATGGCACCAAATGATTTCTTCTATATTCCGATATATGGTATCATCTTAATTTTTTAGATAAGACTCATAAAGTATAATTTTCAACATCCTTGCAAAAATGAAACTGACGTTCATAACATAATTTAATCAGTATTTTTATCAGTTATTTTATAAATATGTATTCTGATATAGATTTTACATTTTATTAACACTACTACGTACATACCCGTAATGAGTTAAATGTATACTAAGCAAAATTAAAAACAGTATACTAACACACATAATATTTCACAGAAAATAAATAAACAAATAAATATTTATAGTTCTAATAATAATTCTGACTCTACTATATCCTTTACACGTTTAAAGGTAGTAAGCATCAACGATGACTTGTTGTTTGATAGGTCTTTAGATGTAGAATAGTGCTTCTGATAATATGATATATAACGTATTTAACATGTGATTGTAGAAATTAGTAACTTGTTTGAATATATTCATATACAGCGGAGATATATGTAGCTAGGGAGTATTAAGAACGTGAATACAGACTGGGGGTGAGGTTTCACAACGCAGACATTGATTGCCATTTACATATTAAATCTTATCATTCAAATATATGCAGATACTATAGGCATGTAATGTTTATGATGGGACTTAGTTTTGGTATCAAAACTGGTCCTTGTTCAAAATAAATCAATTCCTTCAAATCTAATGTCCAGTTTATGTGAAACTGTATTTATGGAAACGGAATAATTTTACGTTGAACAAAACCTCTCTAATACATGTATGTGAACTGGAACGTATGTGAATTCAGAACTTTTGTAATTGTCTGATCCCGAGTATATGAGATCATACTACGACAGAATTGATAGTGCCTTCACAATGGCTTCTGCCGTTTGTTTAGCACTTGGTGGGTTTTGATCAGTTACGAGACGCCCATCTACAACAACATGTGGCTGAAAGAGCCCTGCTTTGGTGTATTTGGCTCCCCGTTCGATAACTATATCTTCAACTGTGTAAGGGACGATGTCTCGGGCTCTTACTGCATCTTCTCTTCGTTACAGAATCCGGCATGAACTTGATTTTTTCTTGTTCTTGCTATTTCTATATGAAATAAAATAAATAAACATGAATTTCAGTATTTCCGTCAGTTTTTTTTATCAACATGCAGTCTGATGTATGTAGCTAGAAAACAACACTCTTAAAAATTATTACTTGGATTTCCTTATATTGAGAAATTGTACTACTCATTTTAAGTCAAAAATTACTTAAATAATCTTGAACTACTGAATAATTTTTAAGTAATTTTTAAGTAATTCATTTATGGTGAATTTACTAATGCAAGGAGAGAAATTGAAATACTTACTGTAGTAATTGTAATAGGCTTACTCATTTACATAATTAAGCAATTAAAAAACTCAAAATGACAATATAAGTTAAACCTAAGTGAAATGAAGTAAAACTAAGTATTTAACTTTAAGTAATTTTTATACTTGGGAAATACTTGTGTTACAGTATTATATTCTATTATATTCACATTAAGTTTAGTTTATCAATATGCATACTGTAACTGATCTTCATTAGAGATCTTAGGTCAAGTCAAGGTCACAATGACATTATATCTTGTAAACATAACTGAACTGAATGACTCATTAACTCTTGGCCTTCTAGAAAGTACTGGAACTGTAATCATTTAATCAAGATTGAATCATGTGACTTAAGATGTCCAATCAGTGTTATTTTCTAGAAATCGTAACTTCTTGAAACATCTGGACTATGCCTTTGCACTATATAATGAGAGAGCTGATTTGGGCTGTCAGCAGAATTTCAAAGTTTATCAAAAGGACATCTTCTTAGCAGATAATTACTGTGGGAACATTTATAACACTACAAACCTACAACCTGAGGACTTTACATGGACATATATTACAACACACACTATATACGGATTATCATATACATTCGTGGATTATCATAAACATTTGTGGATTATCATCAAACATTTGTGGATTATCATCAAACATTATTGGATACAAACATTATAGGATTACAACAAACATTATTGGATTATTACAAACATTGGAGAACTATTACAGTTATTGAAACATTTCATGATCTGGAACTTTCTCAAGGATCGTCAACGACATTTATCGACATCAAGAATAAGCCGTATCATTGATTGGACATCACTTAAGTATTAAACCTCCTTAATATTATTGTAATATGTTTTTTTGGGGGGTTTTACTCAGTCTGTAACTATATAAATATTATTGTATTTGACTATTGTAAACAAATGTTATGTAAATCTCAACCTCATCTTTAAAAAATTGTAACCCTCGCTACACCAGATATTATTGTAAAAGTTTTTCATTGTATTCAAAACTTTTCTTTTAAGGAGGGAGGTGTTACAGTATTATATTCTATTATATTCACATTAAGTTTAGTTTATCAATATGCATACTGTAACTGATCTTCATTAGAGATCTTAGGTCAAGTCAAGGTCACAATGACATTATATCTTGTAAACATAACTGAACTGAATGACTCATTAACTCTTGGCCTTCTAGAAAGTACTGGAACTGTAATCATTTAATCAAGATTGAATCATGTGACTTAAGATGTCCAATCAGTGTTATTTTCTAGAAATCGTAACTTCTTGAAACATCTGGACTATGCCTTTGCACTATATAATGAGAGAGCTGATTTGGGCTGTCAGCAGAATTTCAAAGTTTATCAAAAGGACATCTTCTTAGCAGATAATTACTGTGGGAACATTTATAACACTACAAACCTACAACCTGAGGACTTTACATGGACATATATTACAACACACACTATATACGGATTATCATATACATTCGTGGATTATCATAAACATTTGTGGATTATCATCAAACATTTGTGGATTATCATCAAACATTATTGGATACAAACATTATAGGATTACAACAAACATTATTGGATTATTACAAACATTGGAGAACTATTACAGTTATTGAAACATTTCATGATCTGGAACTTTCTCAAGGATCGTCAACGACATTTATCGACATCAAGAATAAGCCGTATCATTGATTGGACATCACTTAAGTATTAAACCTCCTTTATATTATTGTTATATTATTTAGTTTTTCAAAATATAAATATATTGTTATCATATTTTAATTGCTGTTTTTACTTTCTGTTATTTTCGAACGTAACACTTGGGAAATACTCAAGTAATTCATTTTTAAGAGTGAAGTATTGAGAACGTTTTAACACAGACTAGGTTTTATTTCACGACGCATAATATTTGTAACCTACGTGTAGTGTATCACGCCACTCTTTTTGTGTAACAAGTGGAAAATGATACATTTTCAACCCGATACGCGAAACACGCAGAATAAGCTTCTATTTTACAATACATATTCAATCCTCGAATGATTCAAATATATGCAGACTATCGGAATGTAATGTATATCATGTGATTTCTTTTCAGTATCTAAACTGGCCCTTCATCAAAATAAATCGACTTTCTTCAAATATTTTGTTCAATTTATATGAACTGTATTTAAGGCAACAGATGCATTTTACTTTGAACAAAAACGCTCCAATACGTGTACCGTAAGTGAATTGGAACGTCTAAAATCCCTTTAGAGCTAATATTCATGTAATTGATCCCGAGTATTAACATCATACTTTGATAGACTTGATAGTGCCTTCACAATGGCCTCCCCTGTTTGTTTAGCACTTGGTGGGTTTTGACCAGTTACGAGGCGCCCATCTGCTACAACATGTGGCTGAAAGACCCCTGCTTTGGTGTACTTGGCTCCCCGTTCGATAAGTTTATCTTCAACAGTGTAAGGGACGATCTCTCGGACGCTTGCTGCATCTTCTTCTTCGTTACAGAATGCGGCAGTCCCTTTACCCTGAAATTGGAATATCAGTTTGTTGAAACTAATTAAAGGTTCGTTTCACAGATAAACGGGTTAGTAAAGGTTCAGAGTAACAGGTACTAGGTCACTGACTTTTCAAGTTTAATACATTATGGAAAATACGTCATTCTCTATAATCTAGGTATATTTGTGTATTTTGTGCAACACTGAATGATGTACACCATAAGCGGTATGAGTTACATGTATGTCCTCCTAAAATTACCATGGGACTTCAATAAGGAAGCCAGTAATATATCTGAACATTGAGAACTACCTTAATCCACAAAAAAATGTATTAGATACCTTACCTTTACCAGATAACTTCCGTCCTTTAGACGTACATTGATTAATGCAACAGGACCGTGACAAACGGCGCTCACAACGCCACCTTCGTCATAAATCTCTGCAGAGAGGCGCTGGATATCTGGGTCGTCTGGAAAATCCCACATCGTCCCAAAGCCACCCACGAAGAATATAGCATCGTAATCAGCAGACCTACAGTCTGAAAGTTTCTTTGTATTTTGAGTAAGCTTTTGAGTTTCTTCTGTGTCCCAAAATAACTTATTATCTGGATCATTAAGGTCTTTGCTAGCTGGGTCTAAAGGTGCCTCTCCACCCTTAGGGCTTGCTAACTGGATCTGTAATCCCGCGGATTTAAACGCAAAGTACGGATGAGCTAGTTCTGGAAGGTACCATCCTGATGGCTTTCCGGTATTCCCTAGCTTATCGTTGGACGTCAACACAACGAGGATCGACTTCCCTGAAGATAGTGATAGTGCCTTCACAATGGCCTCTCCCGTATCCTTAGCGCTCGGTGGGTTTTGACCAGTTACGAGGCGCCCATCTGCTACAACATGTGACTGAAAGACCCCTGCTTTGGTGTACTTGGCTCCCCTTTCGATAAGTTTATCTTCAACTGTGTAAGGGACGATGTCTCGGACGCTTGCTGCATCTTCTTCTTCGTTACAGAATGCGGCAATCCCTTTACCCTGAAATTGGAATATCAGTTGGTTGAAAGGAGTGGTATCGATATGGAGAACTTTTTGAACACACGTTTCTCTTAAACCAGTCATAAAAAATCTAAAATTTAACACATCGTAAATTTAATGGTCATCTTTTGAATGGTAACAATTGTTACAGTATTATATTCTATTATATTCACATTAAGTTTAGTTTATCAATATGCATACTGTAACTGATCTTCATTAGAGATCTTAGGTCAAGTCAAGGTCACAATGACATTATATCTTGTAAACATAACTGAACTGAATGACTCATGAACTCTTGGCCTTCTAGAAAGTACTGGAACTGTAATCATTTAATCAAGATTGAATCATGTGACTTAAGATGTCCAATCAGTGTTATTTTCTAGAAATCGTAACTTCTTGAAACATCTGGACTATGCCTTTGCACTATATAATGAGAGAGCTGATTTGGGCTGTCAGCAGAATTTCAAAGTTTATCAAAAGGACATCTTCTTAGCAGATAATTACTGTGGGAACATTTATAACACTACAAACCTACAACCTGAGGACTTTACATGGACATATATTACAACACACACTATATACGGATTATCATATACATTCGTGAATTATCATAAACATTTGTGGATTATCATCAAACATTTGTGGATTATCATCAAACATTATTGGATACAAACATTATAGGATTACAACAAACATTATTGGATTATTACAAACATTGGAGAACTATTACAGTTATTGAAACATTTCATGATCTGGAACTTTCTCAAGGATCGTCAACGACATTTATCGACATCAAGAATAAGCCGTATCATTGATTGGACATCACTTAAGTATTAAACCTCCTTTATATTATTGTTATATTATTTAGTTTTTCAAAATATAAATATATTGTTATCATATTTTATCATAGTTTTTACTTTCTGTTATTTTCGAACGTAACAGAAATGTAAAAACAGCAATTAAAATATGATAACAATATATTTATATTTTGAAAAACTAAATAATATAACAATAATATAAAGGAGGTTTAATACTTAAGTGATGTCCAATCAATGATACGGCTTATTCTTGATGTCGATAAATGTCGTTGACGATCCTTGAGAAAGTTCCAGATCATGAAATGTTTCAATAACTGTAATAGTTCTCCAATGTTTGTAATAATCCAATAATGTTTGTTGTAATCCTATAATGTTTGTATCCAATAATGTTTGATGATAATCCACAAATGTTTGATGATAATCCACAAATGTTTATGATAATCCACGAATGTATATGATAATCCGTATATAGTGTGTGTTGTAATATATGTCCATGTAAAGTCCTCAGGTTGTAGGTTTGTAGTGTTATAAATGTTCCCACAGTAATTATCTGCTAAGAAGATGTCCTTTTGATAAACTTTGAAATTCTGCTGACAGCCCAAATCAGCTCTCTCATTATATAGTGCAAAGGCATAGTCCAGATGTTTCAAGAAGTTACGATTTCTAGAAAATAACACTGATTGGACATCTTAAGTCACATGATTCAATCTTGATTAAATGATTACAGTTCCAGTACTTTCTAGAAGGCCAAGAGTTAATGAGTCATTCAGTTCAGTTATGTTTACAAGATATAATGTCATTGTGACCTTGACTTGACCTAAGATCTCTAATGAAGATCAGTTACAGTATGCATATTGATAAACTAAACTTAATGTGAATATAATAGAATATAATACTGTAACACAATATAAAAAACAGTTTTATAAAATATTTCTAAATAGTTTTCGCATTAAATTGTTGTCAATCAGTCAACATTAACTTACATAAAATACCGTGTCTTTTACAGAATGTTTTCAATTATTGGTTTAGGAGAAAAACATTGTTGAATTCAGTTCTCCATATCGATACCACTCCTTTAAAGGTTCGTTTCACAAATAAAAGATTGGTAAAGGTAGAGAGAACTGGTACTTTTAAAAATTCACTGAATTTTAAAATGTTTTATACTCGTTCGTACATTTTATAAAATAATTCATCCTCAAATAATGATATTGGTACATTTGTGTACTTTTTGTACAAAACTGAAAGATCCGGACCAGATGTACGGAATGATTTATTTGTTACCAAAAAATAACATTGGGCACCAATTAGAAAGCCATCATTATTTCTATACATAGAGAACTACCTTTATCAATGGCAACTGTATTAGGTACCTTACCTTTACCAGATAACTTCCGTCCTTTAGACGCACGTTAATTAACGCAACAGGACCGTGACAAACGGCGCTCACAACGCCACCTTTGTCATATATCTCTGCAGAGAGACGCTGGACATCTGGGTCGTCCGGAAAATCCCACATCGTCCCAAAGCCACCAACGAAGAATATACCATCGTAATCAGCAGATCTGCAGTCTGAAAGTTTCTTTGTATTCTTAGTGAGCTTTTGAGTTTCTTCTGTCTCCCAAAATAACTTACTCTCTGGATCATCAAGGTTTATGCTACCTGGGTCTAAAGGTGCCTCTCCACCCTTAGGACTTGCTAACTGGATCTTTAATCCCGCAGATTTAAATGCGAAGTACGGATGAGCTAATTCGGGCAGGTACCATCCTGATGGCTTTCCGGTATCTCCTAGCTTATCGTTGGACGTCAACACAACGAGGATCGACTTCCCTGCGGCCATGATGATATTTTTTATCGATATGGTTACGCTAACTAATTGATTAAAGTTATATGTGCAGCAAAATGCTGAATCATTGTGTACACTTTAGAGTTCTGAGTTTTTTGTTCATTGGGAATGCAAGTCATCTAACTATAGACACAAATCAAATACCCGTATGTACTTAGTAAAGCAGTTTTATCAGGTTATCAGTGATTGGATTCAATGTATTTAAATACAAGAAGAACTGAGGTTGCTGGTTAATAAAAATCACATAATCTATGAAATAGGCTCTTCGTGTGAATATTTTAAACCAGTTGAAATCAAATACATGATGAATATGTGGTTCACAAAATGTGCATTATCGTATCTGTAGATTATTGATTATTGATTAAAGGTTGATAATTCTTTAGAATGAATGAATAACTAGAATATTCAGTTGTCTACTTTTCAAAATTGCAAAACATTCCAAACCCACACACTTACCTGAATTCTACAACTCATAGGCAATAACCTGTTCCTATTTAATTTGTTTGCGGCTCTCCCGGGGCGGCTCTACATATACAGGTAGATGACAACAGCCGAACAAATCCATATGACATGCTAATAATGTATGGCCAAAAATTAAACAATTGAAAATCAGAGGATATTGCGCTTTGTATTTTGTGTGTTTAACCCTAAACTCAGCCCTGAATGCATTGTTTGCTGAATCATTTCACTAAATGTGTTGTTTTCAAACCTTTTCAAACCATTTTGATTTGCATCCCTATGATACTACTATTTATAGATGTATCGGTTTCATTAGTTTCACTAGAATCTAAGAATGACATTGGTGCATTAGAGTAGTGGGTAATTGGTTATTCAAGTATAATGCAATGCAACTATATGGAATACTGTGTTCTGATTGGCTAGAAAGTGGCACGTCTTGCCTAGCTATGTGTGAATGTTTTATAATTTCCAGTTAAGAAACGTATCCCAGTTGTAAAATGAATTAAGGAGTCCCGAAAATATACTCTTTTACCAGAACATTCCCAGGAATTGCAATTGATTCTAATATAGTAATTCCTGTGAAATGAAAAATGATGTTAATTGCCAAAGCGTTTTGGTCTTAAGTTTTATTTGCAAGCGATAAAGTGATCATTGCTGATAGGAACGCGTACTAGTTTTCGAATGCGGCCTTCATTCTTGATCATCTATTCATTATTAAAAGAGGTCACATTGATATTGAGAATATCAATGATGAATTTGATAGTTTTGAATGTGAGCGGGCAATGATGTGTATGGATCTTAAGTTCAGCCTCGTTTCCAATAATAGTACAATAACGTCATTTCTAAGGGCAATATAGTGAAATATTGTCCGAAGGCGAACAGCAAGAACATCTTATGCATTGAACGATATCTAATTTCCCCGGGAAAATTGCCGGTCCAGAATATATTCTAGACCGGTCCATATGGACCACAACTATGACGTCACACATTTCTCAGGTCGATATAGTAAAATGAATGCCTTCTAAACTAGCACTAAAACCCCTAGAACTGGCCCGGCAAGGTGGTAATAATGGCTTACGGACAACTCATCCCCTAGACAACTCATCCCTGGACGACTCATCCCCTAGACAACTCATCCCCTGGACATCTCATCCCCTAGACACTTCATCCCCTGGACAACTCATCCCCTAGACAACTCATCCCCTGGACAACTCATCCCCTAGACAACTCATCCCCTGGACAACTCACCCTTTTTTCACATGAAGCTAAATTGTGAAGTGTTTCTTTCTATTTAATAAATACACCTAGATCATTCAAAATATCATTTTTCACTTTAATGACACAAATAAAACAGTCAAACAGTAAAATGGTGCCATTAAAACTCTCAACTCTTGCCCTTATATTACATGCCTCAAAATTGCATTTAAGTAACTTCCTCTGTGAATGCTGTGAAAAAATAATCTTTGGATTAAAGAATATTTGAGCTATGAACAACCAACATATTATGACATCAAAGGAGCTTCTTCAATCAATGTTAATACTGTATAATATTGAAACTGTATAATAAAAGTAAAATCAAAAGTAAATATTTACAAAACAAATCACAGATTAATTGGTTGATTATCTCCTTGATAATTTCAAAGCTTTTTTAACAATTTTCCAGATCCCCCCACAGAAAGTCTTTACGCTGGTTACTGAAACGGATCATTTGCGATCATGTACATTTTCTTCGACATATGATACTGACATACATTTGTGGGTTGAGTTCCAGTGTGTTTTATACGTTTTTGAAACTTAAAACTGGAGAGGTTAAGCTAACGATGTTTTTCACAACGTAACCGTGAACGCAAAGTGCAAAAATTAACAAAGGAATGTATCGAGCGCTCATAGTTTTATGCGCGCTTAGTCTACTTCAGATACTCTTTCAGCTTCAGAGTTTCGGGTTTAGAACGGGAGATTTGAATATTTGACGTTGGGTCAACGGGAACCATTTTACTCGTGTCTATTGAACACTATGCTGTCAATTTTGATTTCGATGTACAGTTGAATTCTTGCTGAACACGATGATGTATGTCATGCATGATTTAGCGCCAAAAATCTTACGAAACGAGCTCGTTTAAAATATGTATTAGAAAACCAGCTATAAAACCGCATCAATGACATACTATAGAATCATTACACGCTATGGTGTAGTCTAAACAAACACTGGATTTGAACGGCTATTTATATGAGAAGGCTACATGAATTTGTATATGGTCGAGTGATACGTACAGGTTCAGTTTTGATTATATATGCAAAGCTTAACCTCTCCACTGATCATATTCATAACCAAAACATTTAAAAAATAATTTGCATACAAACATGCCAAAGGATGAGTCGTCCAGAGGATGAGTTGTCCAGGGGATGAGTTGTCCAGGGGATGAGTTGTCTAGGGGATGAGTCGTCCAGGGGATGAGTTGTCCAGGGATAAGTCGTCTAGGGGATGAGTTGTCCGGTTACCGTAGTAATAGCCTATTGTAGAAATAATATGGTTTAATTATAGTTAGCATCGCTAGCTTTGATCATAATAGTTCGAAAAAATTGTTATTTTGATATCTTCTCAGGTACATATGTAAATACGAAATATTCATATTCCTATAAGTCGGATATGATAAATTTTGCGGTTACATTGAATGACGTTGTCCTAAAAGTTCAATAACTCGAGGTGAAATTAAATTTATTCAGTAGATGCTTTAGGAGATCTCCATTTCTCAAAGCTAAGCATGTCTAACTTGAGGTACATTGTGGGAATCGGGTGTAATCTTACGATAAAAAACGATGTTCAATAAACTTCTACTTGTTTATCAATCTGGCTTATGATTATTGATATCGAAACACAATAAATTGACAGGATTGACTTTTTATGCCAATCTATATTATGAGTTTTGGGTATAATACACAGGTGTGAGCGGTAAATATTGATGTACATATTAATAAAATCAACCCTTTGATTATTGAAGTTATTAATTCGGGAAATAACGAAAACAAGTGCATTCCTTCAGGATGACGTCTTCGTACATAAGGAATATATTTTCAACTGAGGTTCAAACCAGATCAGACCTCATACAGTTGATGATCAACGCCTACCATCTGCAAGATAAGATCAATTTGCAGTCTTTCTGTGGATACATTAATATAAGTGGTGAAAAATAAATCGTGAGTACATATATTGAGAAAATATTTTTTAAAGAATTATGTTATAATTGCAAATGACGTAATAATTCCAGTTTCAAGGATTTTTGAATCTCGTATTTTTATAATCTTTCGTCTTAAAAATGTATGTAAATATCATCTTAATACCATGTGGAACGTTCTTAGCAAGTGTTTCTAGGTTGTAAGTCACCTTAATATTTAATTCGATACAAACCCATAAGAGTTCTTTAGACATAATCGTTTCAACAATTCCTTGTAAAATGTTATATTCTTTGAAGTCAATTTATCAAAAAAGACGTTTCAGTGCAAATGTCATGCCTTTAGAGAAATATAAATACTGTTATACGATATATAGTCTTCTTTGATATCTAAATAATTGTATGGTAGGTAATGCAATGTTATCACGTAACATTTCCTTAGTTGTGTGATCATAGAAAATCAATTTTTGGACAGAGGTTTTTCTTCTATATAAGTTTCAAGTTGTTATCAGATTTTTCATTGCAGGACAATTAGCATGAGGCGTCTCGTGGCTGAAATCCTTTGTATTTTTATCAGGGTATGATTTTTACATTCTATATGTTAATTCCCTAGGAGGACAAAAAGCTCTAGTTTAAGTGACATAGTCTTACAAATTAAAGTTAACGTACAACAAAAGAAATACCACAATTTAAGATGTTTGTTTTAGTTCTACGTAAAATGGAGCAGAGTGATTTTTTAAACCAAAGCAAGATTGTTTAAATGACGTTCTGTTAGGGGCGTTGCGGATAAAATAAGGTTGGGATACTGTACGAGCAGATTCCGGTCATATATGCAAAGTTAATATTAAAACTCCGTTATCGAAGATACATTATTCTTAGTATCGTATGTGATTAAACTTAGAATTGTTTCAGATGAAATTTACGATGCTCTTGTTGACCTACGTTCTAAAATACTTAAAATGTTCAAAACATTATTTTTCAGATCGTGTTTTCCCAGACACCTCAACCTTGTAAGTACATGTATGAATAATGGGGCTCGTATAGTGGTTTGAAATAGTCGAAAATGTTATTCAAAATTATTCTAAAAATGTCTTTCAATAAAGTAATATACAAGAGCCAACTTTTTGTCACGTTTTATCATAGGTTTAAAATAAAATAAAAACATATTGGCGTGGTCCTAACGAAAAGTACTGCGAGGAAATGATTATCATAAAACATCAATATATCATTTTAGCATATTCTTGTGAGGACACTGGCATTGACAAGATTATAAAGGTGACTATTAACGAAAATGGTGCGACTGCATTTTCAAAAGTCTACGCAAATGGAAAGCCATCATGTGCATTGACAGAGGTGACGAGTGGCCTATGGGAGATTGAGATGAACCTTAACAACGGTGTTGACTCGTCCCATTATGCGATGTGTGGTTTACAGGTAAACCCTTTTCTACCTACAATATTAAGAAGAAAAATTTAATTTTAATTTGATTTTCGGGGGAAAAGGTTCAACCTGAAGGAGGGCCTTATTAGTACGTAAACTGGTATCCAAATTCAAAAAGCGAATGAAGATACATTGATCAGTATGTACGTTTTTATTTAGTTATTTTATTCCTAATTGAAACCCATATTTAATCATTTTAAAACATTTAAGAGAAATAAATGAAAGAATGGTTCTGAATGCAGCTCTAACTCTTTTGTGTCATTCACAAAGATGATTACTTTTGATCTGCCGTTGAAAGTTGCGCTGTGGACGATATTCTGCTTGTATTAGGTGAAGGGATTCACTCTAGAATGTGAATGCTATGTGTTTAGAATATGGTTTTGATTATTTCATATTTAGGGCGACGGAACATCGGCAACACCGTATACCGGCACGTTCATATCTCAGTCAAGTGATCTCACCATTGAACTTGGAACAGATTGGCAGTTTGTGTTAAGTCCTGGGTGTGATTTTACGAACGCTGCAGCCACTGGATCCGTTGTGACTTTTGATGCAAATGGTTTAAGCTCGTATGTTTTAAATTAATAACTCTTTGACTAAGATATCGCGGAGGATTTAAGATATAAGGTTTTATTTAGAGGAAATATTGACGGAACGCTGAAATGGTACCCTTTGCATTCGTTTGCCTTCACTTCTTAAAAGAGAGCTTCGTCTTCAGTGTAGTTTAACTAGACTCTGCACGCAGGGTATTGAAATGGCCGAGGATAGAACCCTTCTGATATCTTTGTCATTTCATGTCTGTTTCATCGTTGAGTTAATCCTAACTTTTGTTTAGTTTAAATTCAAAAATCGTTATAACTTTTTTCATAATTTCATATTGAACGTATTTTAGTCTTATATTGACGTGTCGCAAAAAGCTCGCGCACGCATTGTTACACATTTTCGCTTTTTAACACCACAGAATGTGACGTTTTTTGAGTAAAATGTACACATATGGAAATCCTTTCGTCCTCCACATTTGCCTTTATATCTCAAAATATTTAAGGCGAATAACTCTGATATCGTATATGTATTAACAATGGGATAGGAGCATCATAAAACACGAATCAATTGATATTTTAGGTGAAATAAATATTCGTGTTGCTGTGCTCGAAAATAGGCGAATGGCGTAAATTAGCCCTATTTTAATGAATTTTGAAAACCTTTCGTCCTCCACTTTTCCACATACAATAGAAAACACATACTTTGGTGAACAAAATCAACTATTTATTAATAAACTAGAGTTTAGGAGCAAAATAATCATGTATGATTTATTAAAAATTGATCTCGTATTTTTTGTTTAATGTACACCTGAAAAGTTGAAGGTACCAAAAAATGAGCAAAAAAGGTCGCTGTCAACAGATTCTATTTTTCAGACTCTATGACGTCACAATATGGGACGCTTACTAAAAACGGCGTGTAGTTGATCTAAAAACTTCATCGAAACAGCTTTAAAATGATATATAACTTTAATTAGAATATTATCTTATAATCCGGGGAATCAAAGTTACATTCACGCGATACCATTAAAAACAAATGCGCCACCTTTTTGCGACACGTCATTAGATTCATCGATCCTGCAATGACTATTAATTTGTATTTTGTGAAAAAGAAAAAAGAGAGTATCATGTTTTTTTCTTATTTCACCTAATAGAGGATTCCCGTCGGTGACGGCCGTCTCAGCGGCGCCTACAGTTACTATGTCTATTTTGGCCTTTGACTCTACGGGTGCCGCTCCGAATATTGTAGTAGAAAATGGGGGAACTGTCAGTATGGCAACATTCGATCTCCTAGAGATAACGTTCAACATGTCATTGGTAGAAAGTAAGTATAGCATTCTGTCGTTTTATCTTTGAAGTTTCTAATACTGACATTAAAAGAACAATAAAGCTAAAAGATAACGATAAGTCAAAATATTAGCTAGTTAAGTTTTTTGCATATGTTTATTATATCTCATTATATTAAGATATAATATGTTAAAGTATATATTATTAGATTGATCTTTCTTAAACGTTCTCTGTATTTCAGATAACATCGCGCAAACGGGTTTGTGGGTCGGCCGTGTCTTTATGTCACCACAAACTGCAGCCACTTCCGCCGAGAATTTCGCCCGAGGGTTTGCAATAACTGACGAATATGGGTAGGAAATTGTTAATATTTATATGTTTGAAATATACAACATAAAGCCAATGTCATGTGGATATAATGCAGATGGGAAATGCATGGATGTTTCATAATGGTCTTATGAAGCAATTGGAAATACGAGGGTTGCATTACTAGATGCATTTGCAGTTTATTTCATTTTGCAATAATACACAAACTTTCATGAAACATGTAATTATATATAACCAATTCCTTCATTTTTTTAAAATCGTAACGGGCAACGCTCAAATTAATAGACCTAGAACTGCAAGAGCAGTGTGATACTTTTCATAGAGAAAAGATTGTAATATCCCGCAATATACACGTAATATCATACCTGGGAACACTGATATGTACAATGTATTCGTAGTTGTGGAACAGATGCCGCTGCAACGGCAGGCGAAGCAGATTTCATTCACACGAGCGAATCCTTCAGCGGCCTGGCTGTCGATTCTAGCTACATCTCTACCTCACCTAGAATCAGCTTGTTCAGGTTTCCACTAAGTGATACTATTTCTATAACGGCTCACATTTTTTACTGTAGTGCAGCCAACCAAGGCGATTGCGATGGGGTAAGGAGAACTAAAATACCTGGAGTGCTTTATTAAAGGCAGAATCAGAATCTTGATCTTGACGAAATTGTTTCAATTTTAGAATATTTTGGGCTCATTTTACCATTCCCTGTTATATATATTTTCTAAAAATAAAAACTTCTCGAGGGCCAATAATGCTAAAAGCCTCGGCCATCCACAATCGTGTATAACGTATATAATATAATTTATTTTGCAAATAGAAACAATTAACCTAAAAAAACAAAGTTAAGCAAGTATAGCATTATCTTGATCTTGACGAAAATTGTTTCAATTTTAGAAAATTTTGGGCTCATATCATTCCTTGTTATATTTTCTAAAAATACCCGAAAGTGTAACTTTATTTTTTGAGGAAAACTTAAGATTTTTTCATTTGTCTAAAAATATGGTTAAAATTGTTATATTTCGGAGAATTCGAACATTTTTACCAATTTTGGCACTTTTGGGAGACCTTATATTTGAGCTTGTAAGGAATACATTGATGCCCTATATATCTGATTCTGCCTTTATAACTCATCCTCCGATCACAGGGTTTCAAAATCCAGAATATCTTCTTTCTATTTACGTACGGATTCTGGACACCTCGGGCTAATTAATAATATGTTAATAACGTTACTTAATTTCCAATACAGTACACATCGTGAGTGTAAGTTGCATGATACTTTCAATGCTGATAACATTTTCCGAGTCACTGTTTCAATAACTAAATATCTATAATTAGTACATTAATTCACTGATTTGTTATGTAGGACAGAACGTGTCCTCATGTTCCGTCTAAAAAGAGGCGTGACGTCACAGCGGACGCTGCAGATACTCGCATGGAAGACTACGTTAGCTCGGTTTTCAAGGTGACGCTTGGTCCTGTTCCGGAATCCACCAAGACTGGAGGTAAAATCTTAGAAGACACTTTCGAATAACTTTCTTTTGAAATATTTTGCCTCAAAAACATGTTTTACAACAATATATCTTCCCACTGCAGTATTAATAAGTTTTAATTACTAATGTTTTATTTAGTGTCCAAGGCATGGGCTAGATCGAGAATTGTGCATGAATTGTCTTAACGATAGTCATGTATGACCTTGCATATACGTCGTACTCAAACATCCTATTTTTATGAACACTCATTTACAATTGTTTTATGTTTTAGATGATCCACCAAATACGTTTATCAAATCAGCAGCACCTTGCCTAAAGAGCACAGCGTTTCTTGTTGTCGTTATCGTACTATCCTCACTTTTGGTTGTCGCAATAGGCACCGTCATCTATGCAATAGCCGTGATGAGACGTTCAAAAAGACGTGACAAAGAACACCCAAATGACCTACATTAGAAAAGAGACATATCCCTTTCGGAAACCTAATTGTTACAATCATACAAGAATCAACTAACGAACTTCTTAAAGACGTTTTGTGTATCAGTTTCGCTATGGTTACGAGCCAGTACCAGCTATAACCATGGTACTGTACATGGTACTGTACATCAAATATTATGTTACCAGGTTTTATAAAAAATGTGTAAAAAGCAAATGTATAAAGCTACCACTAATTTACTTATAGAAATACATGTAAATGATTTTATTCAACTTGATTTGAAAATCGATCTGTTTCTTCCTTTTATCGATATGAATACCCTCTTTTGAGGTGCATCGACATCCTTGCTGCAAGGGTATTTTACAAGTATATAATTTAATATGAATTTAAGCATAAATGAAGTCCTTTGAAGAAGGATGGTGCATCGACATTTAGAGTGTTCATGTTCTTTTCCTAAAACGTGCAGCTTCGCCTCAGTATTTTGACTTTTGAATGCACATAAACAAGTGACATCTATCATTCATGCTAATTTCTACAATAATTTTGTTTATTTTGTACTTCTCATACTCAAAACCTGCAAATGGTACTAAATCATGAATTGCGTTCTCAAACTCTTATTGGCTATAAAATACACCGACGTGTAATTTATCATAAATTTTTGTTATGGTCTTCAACTTTTTATGGACTCTGCTCGGTGGTCGGCGGTTGGCGTTTGGTGGCGGTCGGCGTCTATATATAGCAAACGACAGATGGTGACATTTTGTATGTTGTTGGCCCTTATCATGATCAGCACATTGTTTTCCAACTTTACTAAACCCTATTTTAATACCCACATATAAATAAAATAAACAACACAAAACAGTTTATCTGTTGAGAAAAAACATCCACCCTTCCCATAGGATTGTCTCGTTACCCTCTGACTGCTGGACGACTTTAAAGTTTCGATCATGATCAGAATTCAAATTTTGCACAGTCCATGATGGTCTTTAATAGGAGCTCGAATATGAATCAAATATAAAAACATGCAGGTAGAATGGAGATAGAAAATTAACAATACGCTAATTTTTGACAACATTCCTATTAATTGAATATTTATGTCGCATTTAAAGAGTACAAAATTAACCGGGGCCTCTTGAGAAGAGTTAATGTATAAAGCTTAATACAATTCTAACATTTTGCCTTGAATGCTAGACCACTTAACGAAGATAAGTGTTTAACATGCATTACTCATTATCGCCTTGTATTTGTTCATCTGTTTCTGAATGGCTACTTATGAAAGTACGATTGTTCATTAACTTGACCTACCTCACTCTCAAAATCCACCCATCACATCAAGAGGTAGCTAGTGCCATTTTGGAATTTGTGACATTCGGAGTTGTAACTCAGATTTTACTTTCTTTTACTCTCAACTAGGACAAAATGCCTCTTGCAGTAGTCAGAACTAACCTTAATAAGACAGCAACTCCGAAGAGTTTCTTGGCAGATTTTACAGATTTTATCGTAAAGACGTTAGGATGCGACGAAAAGGTGAGTAGATTTGCATTTATTTCTTATCACGAACATTGCTAAAGGTACAGAGTCCATGCATATTACAGTGCTAAACTATGAATTCTGTTAAATACGCCGATAAAATGGAACGCCGTTAACCTAAAACATTTTACTATTTTAAGTATTTAGCGTTTAATTTAATCCAAGTCAACTTAAAGGTGTATGTACCTGACTGAAAGGTAAATATCGTGCCGTGAATACTTTACACGATTTAGGCAATTGAACCCTTAAAATGTATGTATATAGACACATACCAAAGAACAATTAAAGGTCGTGCCTAATATTTGATTCCCACAAGACATTCCCGAGACATTCTTGTCATTTCGAAAGTAAAACTGTAAATATAGCGTATGAAGTGACTATCGAATATGTTCAAGAGAGGGTAAATCTAAAATTATTCGACTAAATAGCAAGTGTCAGGCTTTAACCTTCACTTAAGCAATCAAAAAATCAACCTGTACTGTTTTCGTATATGTAGTTTAAAAATGCTTGAGTAAATTTAATACAGTTTCTGATATATACATCTTGTATATAAAAAATACAGATTCGTATTTATTTTGATTTATCGGTTTTACTATTGAATGTTGGTACTTTAAAAGCATTGCTCTGTTAAACTTATGCTAACTTGGATTTCTTTCATATATGATCTGAAGTGGATTGTAAGCGGGGAACTGATGAGAGAATTCTAGTATTAAACCAGATTTATCATCTATCTTGATTAGTCTTTGAAGTCTCGTATTTATCTTAGACTCATACAAGGTGGGGCCAACATGTAAAGTATGCGATAGTGTGATATATGATTCAATCATCATTACGTATTCATGAACGTTCTCCAAACTCTCCAGACTTAACATCATATTCATCAAACCAATTCGATATGAAACTAAACAATATCGAAAATATTTGGAAGTCATTTGATAGACTTATTTTCATTTATAGCTCATGTTTACCAATGCAAGTATAGTAAAAATAACGTTAAATTTATGGTGGGAATTGCTAAAGTAGGCATGGTATGGTTAAAAATATTTGAATGGGTTGAGTGTTGAGACAATGCAATTCATCGTTAATTATTAACAAGGGTAAGATAAGCGTCGTATATTTACAGCGAAAGTAGCTGGACTTTAGTCAATATTTGCATGATAAGGACTGTATATCAAATGTATAGGTGATTTACATGTGTAAATTGTAATAGGTTGACTCAAAAGATTATATGCGTTAAATATGTGCTGTTTAAAGATCAACAATAAAATTCCAAAAGAAACTGAACAATACTTAACCTGTTAAATGTTTACCTGACAGAACATGTTCTTTAAATGCCACTGCAAAAAGTTTGAATCATCGATAACTTTCTATATCTTACAAACCTAAGATTCAAGTAATTTGATCGCCAGTTACACCCATGGATGACAATTTAAAACTCTACGTATGCGTAAATGTATACGTTTATACATATACAATTACAACACCACACAAAATGCCAGTGTCCATTGATTATTGGTACCTTGAAAATAATCAAGTTTCTTGGAATAAATTTCTTAACTGGACATTTTAGAACAATCATTTAGCATATTTTCATACAATCAAGACTTTCGTAATTGTAACAGTTAGTAAAGTGTACTGATTTTTGTGAAGCGTACGACTTCCCAAATCAAATATATGACCAATGATCAATGTACGTGGACCATCTAGACTCCATTATAATTTTTATGTTTAAAACACATTAAAATAGTACGTAAATGACGAATGTATGGGTCATTCTAAAATCAATTTATTTTGTCTTGAAACATCAGATTTCACCTAATATTTAATATATAATGTCACAAAATATGTATGCATACAGTGCATATTAAAGTCTCCAATTCTCTTGATTTGCATTGTTGCACCAATGTATGTATATATTTAAACTAAATATATCTTACCGAAAGCTCTGTGTGTGATGTCATCACTTTGTGTGTACTCAAAAATTCTGCTGATGTCATCACTTTGTGTGTACTCAAAAATGCTGCAACTTTAAACGTTTCTCTGCATGTTGCATCTGATTTAAAAGGCACTTAACAATCACAATTAAAGTATATTCATTTTTCATCTAGTACACAATGATCGAAATGCACACTGATGTCCCAATGATGCGGGCCGGAACTACAGCACCTATGTTAAATCTTGACATACATCACGCAGATGATCAAGTTACAGACGATACCAAGCGGGAACTAGCTGCGAAATTTGCTGAATTCCTTGTCTCACAAGTTGAAGTACCAATTGATAGGTTTGTACCATTATATCAATTTTTGCAAAATATACTAATTTTGGTTATTATTTTGTTTCGTACAGTACACCATGATCGAAATCCACACAGACATTCCAATGATGAGAGCTGGGACAACAGCGCCCATGTTGAATCTTGATATACAACACGCGGATGATCAAATAACAGACGAGACTAAACGAGATCTCGCAGCCAAGTTTGCTGAATTTCTTGTCTCGCAAGTGAACGTTCCAGTTGACAGGTTTGTATAAGGCATGGCTCTGGGAAGAAAGTGCTTGGATAACCCAGCTAGTACGAGTCGTCATCGTGTCATATATGTATTGTTTCGCTTCGCTACCTTGTATATAAGTTGCCATATTTCAACGAAGGTTAGGATATGCCTCCCCAGATGTCACCAGTGTGCAGTAACGTTGACGTTGTTGGTGTCAAGATGCCCGGACAAACTGTCCTGTTTGCTCTACTCAATCAAGTGTAACACGACGTTGATACAGTATATATTAATAGCATGTGCGTTTAGGTAGACTAGCTTAACAAAAAAAACATTGGTTTGTGTGTAATAGAACACTCCTGGTTCGATTCCCGGACTAAGCATTGTATGGCATAAGTCTCATGGTATACATCATACGCTAACCCGTTGCAGCTCTTGGCGGCGTTGTGCATGTTAACATCATTAATTGCCTATATTTAAGCATTGGCTTAATTTTTTATAAAATATTTATGTTGGTGCTTCTATTCTATTTATTGCTTTGGGGAATAAATAATTTATATAAAATAACACATTACTGCCGTAATATATCAAATTATATATGTATCATATATGTGTGCTTTTCAGTTTAATATTTAAGGAGAAAATGCTTAGACTATATTTATTTACCCTAGATTTACATAGCAGTAAGTTAATGAGAGTTTCCTCTAGGCAACACCTCCATTTTCATAATCAAAATCAAAGCTGTTTATTTAGATCGATATTATATTATATGGAATTCAGGATATTAAGAGATCCGATACGTTCGTGTTTTACACTCATTAAATCGATGATTCTACTATCTAGACCCCAGACAAACTAAGTATTATGTTTTAATCTCACAGGCATTTTGACACACCCTGTATTCAATTGATGATTCTTGTTGTTTCATTGTCCTGAATAATGTGAACTGAAATATGTTTTGATTTGTTTGTTTTCAGAATTTTGGTACTATTCTTTGACAGTCGACAGTGCACATCCATCCATTCCATTACGTCGCTGTAATACATTGGAGAGACAGTCTTTATCAAACCATATACATAAATATATATATTGCCGGTCAATCACTATGTGGAAAATGGTAAAAACGCTATTAGGACATATAATTATTTTTACCTATTGATTACTTAAAAATAGTCTCAGGAGAATTTGCGAACCATTTTGTCATTTTAAACGTATGTGAATGACACGGCAGATACGGCAGAAGGATGGAGTCAAGGGACCATACAATACTTGCCCATAAATAATATTTAACTTCCTAATATCGCAATAATTTGGATAATATATGAAATATATGAACGGGTTACAATCACGCCATGTTCTCCTGGTGTTGTGTTAACATAGGACACAAGCCAAAATATGTTATTTTGTAACAAATTATATTGCTTGATTCTATTTTGACAATACTCTGCTTAAGAAACAGGGATAACCTGATATGGTTGATGCAATAGGACTGTAATTAGGTTCTCCATAGGGATGTCAAATTTAATAAGAACTCATATAAGACACGAACCCCAAATTAAGACTTCATTTAAAAATTCATTATAATCGATTTGTAGGTTTTGAGACTGTCCAAATGTGACACAATTCTTGAGATCTGGAGCATAATTCTTTCAAATCTATAGACACCTGGTTTAAAATATGTGCTCTTTAGACCAAGCATAGTATAGCAATCTATACCAAGCATAGCATAGCATTCTAGACCAAGCATAGCATTATGTAAATAACTGCTTCTTTGCGTATATTATATACAGTGAATGCTCTTCAAATACATGTATAATGATAAGTAAGAAATGCATCCGCACACTAATAAGTGTTGATCGGTCCGATATTATCCTCGAATAAATGTTAGTGAGTTTCCTTCATTTATATTCTGAAATGTTCCTCAAAGAATGACTGTACATGTACATGTACTTTGATTATCCAAGTCGTTGGATATTCAGTTTAAATGTGTTCATATTTTGATTAACGGTTGTTATGCTTACCCGACTTAATTGTCACAGTATTTAAATCTTGATCATTCCATTATTTATACTTTTATACTAATGATCAATTCGTAAATAGATTCCATAGAGCGTTGAAGAATAGTATGTTTTATGATAATATATATATGCATGAAATACCATGAAATCAAAATGAAATGAAATATATGAATTGTTATTAACGATTATCAATTAATTTTGTTCTGTTAATCAACTGTGGTGATGTCGACCCCCCCCCCCATCTCATAGTTTCTGAAAAACGTCACTTTATCTGTGCGACGGACGAAAACGTCACAATTTTGTTTTTAGGACACACTTTTACGAATACAATCACACAGCCCTCCCCTGCAAAAACTCTAAACATCGACCTTTCAATCCTATTGATCCACGATTAAAAATATACAGGGTGCTCCAAATTATTTACACTTTAGATTGCGTAGCATTTTCTAACAAAGGAGGATTTTCCGATTTTTTCATAGACCTGTCCTACAGACATGTAAGTTCTGTGTTGTGTAAGTTATATTATCATACACCACCATCATGTGAGCACAAATCAATAGTTTGTAATATGTTCAATCCAAGCTCTTGCATACATTGTAATTAATCTCCCTGTTGTAATACGAAATTCTCCCGATCTCTGTTTTGATATTCTTCAGCTCATCAATAATTTGCAATTGTTGATAGTTTACATAGATCCTGCCTTTAAAATATCCCCACCAAAAAAAACGTTATATAGTTATAGGGATATATCGGGTGTGCAGGTCAGGTGTTATCCAGTAATGGGAGATGAGTCTGTCTTCGGGGAAATAATGACGGAGGTATTCAAGTGAGGCATTGGACAAGGGCGATGTTGCTTCATCTTACCGATAGATAACATTATTGTCAATTATGATTTGCCATTTATTGATAGATGGCAGCAGGTACTGTACCAACTTCTGATCATGGAAAAGAACATCGGTTGTCTTCATAGTTATTAAATTCCGAATGATAGAGGGCACATATCAGTATATTGTTTATAGATGGAGAAAATAACTCATTGCCGCTTCTATGGAAGCATATGATTAAATTCATAGATTGAATTCAAAATCAAAAACTTCACAAGTCGGTAGTTCCTCAGATGTCATTTTTTAGTAGGCTGCTATTTACAAAATAAATGGACCACCATCACCAGCTACTATTTCAAACAGGACAAAAGTAATTGGCAAAGTTTGTAATATATTTATGATTATATTGCATGCTTGCTTACAAAATAGCGTAACATAAATATGCATGTACATGTATATACTTTAACATAAACCAGACACCGTACATGTTAAATATGATTATTGGAAGTTTTACGAAAGTAACGGATATACGTGTAAGGTTCTACAAACAATAAGGTTTATACTGGGACACTTTGAATACCGGGTTTATCCTAAGGGAAATATTTTGTATCTCCCAAGGCATCGCATGGACCTGCAAGGGAGAGGCTCTAGGTACATTCTACACCATCTTCGATTCCTTAATTAAATGGATTTTACGATATTAACTTTAGAAATTTGAATATGAAAAACAAACAACTTCTTTTATATAAATGAAATATTCAACCCCCCCCCCGCCCATAAATGCACTATACTATATTCCCGCATGTTATGTACCTTGAACCTCAGTAGGGTATGGAATACACAGACGACAGACAGTACATATTGAATAGTGCAGAGTCTACACTGCAGACATGCATGATATAATAAATATTTATCAGTAAATACACTAAATGCACAATAGATAAATCAAAAAAGAAAAATTAACTCTTTCAAATGCTCAACAACGCGCTATTTCAATAAATATTTAAATTTTCCGTTCTACTAAATGCATATTGTATTAATTACTGATCTCAACTATATTCGATATGCATGGTTGACAACTTGCACATATTTTTGTTGTGAAAGTATAGACTCTTGTTAGGCTATTTGAAATTTAATTTTTGAAGCAATGGAAAAAATGCATTGTAATCAGTTTTTAGAGTAGAAAACATAAAATATAAGCTGGATATAAGATGATTCTCGAATGGCTGTAAATATAAGCTGGTCCGTATCAAATATAAATATTATGATTGAAATTAAGCGAAGTACCCATCCTAAGTCTCAGTCACATTTGATCTACGGCGGGCGTACGCCGTACGACGGCCGTAGCTTCAGAAAATCAATATAGAAAATCCACATTTATGCTGCACATTTCTCTTGATTTTGGGAAGCTACGGTCGCCGTATGGTCGAATTTGACTGAGGCATTAGTAACATTATCTAGTCACAATATGTTACAGAAGACTAGTCAGTGAACACATTGCGATTGGCTATCTTTTATACCTGACGTCGTTGTTTTATATCTTGATTTGGGGTGTCAAACGAAGGAAAAATAAAGTTGTTCAGAACTGTCTGTCTGTCAAGGCATTGACTAATATTGTTATATCAAATATGCAAACTCAGGTTATAATGTATATAGTAGCTACGCTACTAGGTGAGTACTAATAATTACTGTATAACTGAGTGAAAATGAAAACTCGTATTACTATAGATGGCAGATATATATTGGTAGCTATATTCACCTCCTGTTCCATTGGTCCGTGTGTAAATATTGCTCTGAGAAAACATTAAATATCCTAGCTAGATTTAGTAATTAAACCCCCGGGATTAAAATATATATAAATATGCAAAGAGTATCAGCATCAGTACAATATATCATTATACTCGGGTGGAGGTGGCCTTTGGTCTATTGGTATATCCTCTATGGGAACTCTGTGGTGGTCTTCATCACTCTGAATAGAAGAGTGGGATATTTGCGAGAATCTCCTCTGATGATGTCTGTTATCGAGATCTCGTTCCATCGCTCCCTCCAGCAAAAGCGGCGTGTGTGTCTTTCCACTCTCTCTATCAGCTATTCCAATGAGCGTTTTAAAAAGTTTAAAAGAGTCTTTCGTGTCCAGTTTCTGTTCTTCTTCTTCACCGTCTTTATTTGTACCGCCTTCTTTCCTGTTCATAGCACCTGCCGCGATTGACTTCATTCCTCCAATGGCTTGTTGGAATGCTTTAATATTCTCCATTGATTTCTGAAGGTCAATTTCAATAACTCTAGTCACAATTACGGCGCTTTTTCGCCAAACATGCTCGAGTGTTTCCATGGGAACAATACGCTCAGCTCTCACTTTGATCTCAACTTTCGCAATACCAGTCTTAACCCCGAGTAGTACATTCTCAGAAATAATGTCAAAATTGATCAGCCCCTCGGCACTGGCTCGTGAATCATCGGCGTGGATAAGTTCGGGACTTTCGTACAGTTCCTCTTCCTCTCTATCAACATTAATAAATTGCTTCACTGTGTCGGGATGAATCTTTGGTTTTGCCAACATTAGACGCTTCTCAAGTTCGAACTTTCGTCGCATTTCGGCGACCTTCTTAGAAGTATCGATGCCAGGAATATGCCCAACTCGTCCGTCGAAAATATAGCCAGACTCTCCTGGAATCAAATCAGAAAAAAATATTTCAAACAGTAACCTGGCAACTGGCACTATACACAGACACTTCACATATATATACCTCATTCTTTAGCTTATGCACACTATCAATTTAACAACTAAGCTCAGATTATGAATATTAGAATCATGGCAGATAAAATCAACATATAAACTTCTTCCTGGTGTGTATGAAAAGGACAATTCAAGACCGGTGCATATGACTCTTTGATCATTGCTCCTTTAATATAAAGTGAGCCCAGGGCCATGAGCTTTTTGAGCATTAACTACACGTATATATATCATCATGTGGAAATCTAAATGAGCTATCGGACATGGTCCTTTTTAATGTCTCCAACTAAGACCCATTGATTATGCATAATAGCCATGCATTTGATTTCCACCCCCCCCCCCTCCTCCAACAAATATCACCAGCAGGTGTCTAAGTGAAGAAATCGATTTTTAAATCATGCCAACGTTATCTTAATAATCCTAATTTCATTCTCTGAAAGAAAATTGAGATATCTGACATCTAAAGAAGTCATTGAATATTTAGACCTAGAAGGTGTAGAAATGAAAAAGGGACATGTTATGTTATGTTTCTTTATTTCCTCCGTTTAATTCCAAAAGGACATGGCACAGAACTTCGAGAGCAAAACTGTAAAATTGTGATAATATTCTCGAAACTTTAATTGATTTAATCAAACTCGAATTTCATCTCGTTTCCTTCCAGTTTATTACAACGATCCCAATACTTAAATATATAGTACTATGTTAATATTTTAGGCCCTTCTGATTATCACGCCCTTGTCAAACTCGTTAAACTTGTTAAAATTCCGATAGGAGCTACATGTATTTTTAAATCACTTTCATTTTGTTTTGCTCTTAAGAGTCAAGACGCCATTTCGTTTTAAAATGTAAAATTATATGTCACAGCAAAATAAGAACATGCA